ATTTCGAAGAGATCTGTGCGCATACATAGTAGAACCTTCCAGGGATGGATGTCGGGTGTCCACTCGCTCAGGCACCCCCTCTAGTCGCCTGAATGGAGACCAATGAACAGATTTAAAAAAAAAAAAGTGTCCACACCTTTCTCTTCACAGTTCTGTCAGGTGATCGTGACTGCTCTGATCCTTCCCCCGCTTGGCTCTGGGAGCACCTGAACGTCTTCAATTAGAGAGCACTGGATTTCTTGCTTCAATTGTCCTAGCTATAAGCCTTCCAACCTTCTAATTATTCCTTTACATGTGGTTCAGAGTTCTGGCACCATCCCCTGAGCCTGCTTGGTCCAGTATTCTGTGTTGTTGCTGACGGAGCTCCTCTCTGCACGTCTACATGATCTGCCATCTTGTTTGTTCTCTCTAGGTTCCTTGATTTTTGCTTATTGGTTTGAAGGGATTCTTTATGTATCCATATGTGAATTCTTTATCATTTCACATATGTGGCACAGTTCTGTTTACTGACACGTTAATCATTTAAATCAGGATGTATTGGTTTTTCCAGTGTGAAGGGAGAGTAGCTTTCTGCCACACAGGCACATGTTTCCTGGCGTCCTCCTGTATGGCTAGTGTTCTGACCCAATACCAAATTTTCTTTTATTTGACATTAATGATACTCTGTTTGCTGACATTTACTATTTATACTTAATCACTAACTTTAAATCTTATCTCATTTGTACAAATCTCTTCTCATATCTTCAAATATATAAGTTGGCTACAGTAAGTTTGTGGGAAAATTCCATCATCTTTTCTTTCCATTTCCACAAACTTTTTGAAGTCCTGTCATTCTGTTTTTCAGTGAAAGAAATTTTCACAGAGTCTTAACTCTTGTCCGACCAAGATTGGCTGCTGTTTATCTGTGGTCTTGTGGAGGATCTCTTTTTACCATGATCTTGGAGATTCCTTTAGCTTTTACCTAAAGGAACCTTTTAAGAAAACATTTAGTGTTTGAACTGTTTTATATTGTAACATCAGCATTTTCCTTTTCCAAAATTTTTATCACCCTTAACACTCAGTGCCCCCCTTATGAAATAACTTCACTTCCCCACTCCATGCAGAGATAGTTCACATCAGTGAAAGTCTATATATTTATTCTTATATGACTCTTTTCACTCAGAAGAGTAATGGTGTAGGGGACATCCATGGAGCTTGTGTCAGGAGGTTATTTTTCTATACATGGCTAAAGAGTGTTCATTGGATACCACAGCTTTCCTGCTGACGGACTGTTCATTATTTCTACTTTCTGGTTACTGTGACTAGTGCTGCACTGAACAGTGGTGTGTACAAACATACTTGGCTGTTTCAACCCTATTTTTTGATAGAGCATATCTTCCTCTGATTTCCTAAGAAAGGGTGCAGGGAAGATTGGGATAAATCTGTTCCATGGCTTGGAAGTAGTTGGGAACAGTTCATTCATGGCTGAAGGGAACAAGGGCAGCTTTGTGCCTTGCGTAGCAACCAGATGTCTTGTGTCTCAGATATCGACTCAAGTCAGAAACAGACAGTAGTGTCCCGCTCAATACTGGCAGTTGATCAGGTCATTTTGAAGGTGTATCCTTCTTTGACAGTCCTGCCAGTAACCCTATATCCTGAAATATTCCAGTCTCCTCTATCAGGAAACGTTCAAGGATGGTTCTGCTCGTTTTAGAATTGGCAAGTGAGAGATTTGGTTCCTATGAAACATGTATGTGCTGCCCTTGTTTCCACCATCCATGACTGAACTGTTACAGCCTCTTCAGAGTTCTGTTTTTTTCTGCCTTCACATTTGATTAAGATATTGTTTAACATATTTTTAGATTAGAAATAAATTCACTTAGCTTTCTGTTGTGAATTTTTGGTTCCCACAGTTGCTTTTAAGTTTCTTGAGTATTGCTTCTTGACCTATATTTCTAGAATCTGTTTGTCTCCAGTGTTCTGAAATATCAGGAAGTGTTGTGCCTTGGTGTGGGTCCATTGAAGATTTTGTACTTCTTTTAACTTTCATTTTGCCAAGCCTATTTGGAGATTGAATTCTTGGTATTAATGCTGTAACTTGCCTTTTATTTGCTCCTTTCTTGCTGTTTATCTTTCTCAGTTTACCTGATATTACCATGAAAAAAGGGTTTATTACCCCTCGTGTTGAAGTTTCTCTTTAAAACTGCTGTGGCTTTTCATTTCCAGGTGTGCTTGTTTGATTTCAGGGTATCTCCCTTTTTTACATCTACTGTGTAACGGGTACTCAGGGTACTCATCGCTTAGTTTTTTTGTTTTTTTTTTTAATCCTTTGCTAAGTCTTTTTCAATTGATTTTTTTGTTGTTGTTGTTTATTTCCACCTCACTGTTTATTTCCTCACATGGCTGGTGCTCTTGTAAACTATGCCTGTTCACGTTTCTATAGAGGGTCCCTAAATACCTCTTGCGTTCTTTATACACCAGTTGGGCTTGTCAGTCTTGAATGCTTACTTGGGAAATCCTGGGTGTTGATATCTTGAGATCTTTTGTCTTAGATTCCCCAAAGATGCTGCTTCCCGTGTTCTGAGAGTTGAGCTGTGGTAGCAGAGATCTCAGTATTTGTCCTTTCGTCCACTGTGAATCTGTCGTAAGATATGCTTGCCCTTCCTTCCCTCTGTGGTGTCACCCAGTCCAGATACCTCCTAGGGTGGAGGGAGGCCTTACCACCTTGTGTGGTGTTGAGGAGGGATTGATCTGAGTACCTGCGTCTCCAAGAGAGAATCGACCTTACCTTTATCCTTCATACTCACTTCCAGAGGTATCTGGAACCTAGGACTTTCGGGGCTTTATAGTGTGAGTGGATTTAATAGCTTCTGTGTTTTCTCTGCTGCTGACTTAGGATTCCAGGCAACCTTCTAGCTCTTCTCTCCCATTTTTGTAAAAATTGCTTTTCTTTTATTTTTTTAATATACTTTGGTCTCTATACATTTGCCTTTTTTTTTTTTTAAATTGTGAATTATGTGGTAGTTTACATGGGAGAACATTAGCTTTATGTTTTTCCTGTCGTATATCGTTTCATTGCCATGGTTACAATCCCCTCCTTGCATCATCAACCAAAGGGTTGGTTGCCTGTGCCTCGGTCGTCAGCACTTTTCATTTATGTTAATGTGATTTCTGACTAAGGTGTTTGTTTATTCTGCAATCTTTGACCAGAAAACCACTTTGTCCCTCTTTCTTTGGTCACGGTAACTTGTGTTACTTGAGGGGGGAGGTATCATGTATATATGTACTCTGTACCCATGGAAATACTTGGTCATTTTAGTTTTCTTGTGTGACCAGGAGAGAGCTTAACTCTTAACAATGTTCTTGTCGCTGTGTCATGTTTGCCTTACCAACAGTTTTTTGAAGTATTTCTGCTTGAATGTTGTAGGTTCGGTTTTTCAATTTGGTAGCAGCACTACAAATTTCAACTTCACAAACAACAATCCATCAGGAGTGTTCACATTTGGTGCGAATCCCAGCACACCTGCAGCCTCAGCCCAACCTTCAGGCTCCGGGGGATTTCCATTTAGTCAGCCAACAGCAGCCTTTACTGTGGGGTAAGACCTTGGCTTAATTTCTTACGAGATGGAGAATTTAACATAAGGAGTTTGAACACAGATGCATGTGTGCTTTGTTTTTAAAATTACTGCAGGGACCATTCAATTTGAGTAAAATGAATTGAAACCTCGCACATCAATTTGCCATATTGTGATTTTGGAGGCTGATAACTGGAGAGAAATGGTAGTAATGTGTGTGTGCTGAGTAAAGCAGGAGATGTGTTTACAATGACAATGTGAGGGGGTGTCTTCCTGGTCACGTTTAGTTTTTGGTGACCATTTTGAAATGTCTCTCTGATGAGCCTCATGTCACATGGTTTTATTTTCCATAGGTCAAATGGGAAAAACGTGTTCTCTTCTTCTGGACCTTCAATTTCTGGTCGCAAGATAAAGACGGCTGTTAGACGTAAGAAATAAAGGCCACAAAGGTGTTTTACAGCCAACTGCTATTCACAAACAGCTGTGCCCTGCTTTCAGATACTGATTATGCTACATGTTGCAGTTGTCTGAAGTCAGATCTACCTAAGGACATCTTTAATTTTGGAACTTTCCTCCTTTCTTGTTCTTTACAGAAACCCCACCCTCACCTCACCCCTACCTTTTTTATTATTATTATTATTAAATGATTGCTAGCCTGGTGACTGATTTCTTCAGCAAAAATATTTTTTGATCCAGCGAATTATTCCCTGATTTGGCATTGTCTGGCTGCACCCAGGAATAGAGCCCTTCCAGCAAATGGCTTTGTATAGAACCTTGCCATCTGCACCACTCTGCGCTGAGACGCGTTTATGGAACGCATTGTAATTATATCTGAGGAATTGTGTATAGATTAGAGGACGTTGAAATGAATGATTTCTATGCCGAGTCTGTTGTGGTGTGTGTGTGAAGTGAGTGAGTTGGGTGTGTTGTGCACTAACCTTTTCTGATAGAGGAAGCCTGATTAAAGAATGGTCCCTGCTTAAGGGCTTGTTAGCGCTAGTTCTCCATTTAATAATTATATGCTATTTCTATATTTTCATTCTTATGACTATCACCTGTCTTGCCTTTTTCATTATTTTATTATGAAACTTGTGTAAATACAATTTTGTTCTGTACTTTTTGGCATAACAAATCTGTGAACTTGAAATTTTAATTTTGTGTTAGAAATTTTCGGTTGTTTTGTTTAGTCTTGTCTCAGATTTTATTATGTAAATCCCATTATTCAAAGTTGCCTAAATCCATTTGGAAATCTTAAAAAAATAATAATAATAATAATTGGGGATTCTTAAAGTGAATTTATTGGCTTTTCTGATCCAGTTTTGTTTGGACCAAAAACCAGTATTGTACAAAGTGTTAAGCATATATTTTTATATTTACTGAAATGGACTGTGGTGACTTTGGATAATAAGGAAAAGTTTAATATTAAAGCCATGTTTATTACAGTATAATTAACATGTTAAACCATGGGATAAATGCCATCAATAAAAAATTATGAAATACTTATTTGGTTGTAATTTTAAATCATAATGAAGATGTAATGTGCCGTCGAGTTGATTCAAACTCTACACAGGGCGTAGAGTTTCCAAGGTGTGACTTGGTGGGTTTGAACCATGGACCTTGTGGTAAGCAGTACAGGACTTTACCCCAGTGTCACACCAGGACTCCTTACAAATGTTGTGTGTCGCCGAGTCAGTTCCAACTCAGTGACCCTACATAGGGTTTCTGAGGAGCAGCTGGTGGGTTTGAACTGCCAAACTGTGGTTCACATTTCAGTGCTGATCCTACGCCATACCAGGACTCCCTTTATCAGAGTTGGTAAGTGTCAAATTAGAAGGTAAATTCCATTAGGATACAGATAACGTGACTTAGACAACTCCTAAATGAAGGACAAAGTATCTGAGTGCAGGGCATACAGAAAGTACCTTGCTTCTTGCCTGGAGCTAGGAACATGCCTGATTTGCATAGAAATTTGTTTTAAAAACTAGAAAATAAACACATGAAACCATTTGTTTGCACCTGCACCCTCCTCAGTAACTTACTAGACAGTGTTCATTGAGTGTAATTTTGCCCAAAGCAAAAATTACATTGATCTGTTAGTACAATTTCTTTAACTTTTCTTGTATTTTTACTGGATTTAAAAAACATTTCTAAAAAATGGTTCATAGAGCTCTTGGGACAAAAAGCATTTGACAGTTTTATTCCTGAAATTGAATGATTATGTTATGGTCATTTAAATTTGTTTAGAAGGTAAATTCAGAACTTTAAAGTGTTTAGTGGCTTTTTTGTTTCCACAGGGGTATTTTTCATAATTAATGCTGGTTTTGGTGTTTATAAAAACTTATTTAATTATTCTATATATTTGGTACTGACAGGTTTCAGGGAGCCAGCAGTGATGTTGAATGCTGGGAAGAGAGATGTGAATTGGACATCTTGCGGTCTTAATGGTGAGAAGGAGTCCTGGTGTAATGCTGTGGGATAAAGCACTATACTACAAGGTCGGTAGTTCAAACACACCAGTTGCTCCTTGGAATCCCTATACATGGTAGCTATGAGTTGGAATTGACTCAGTGGCACTGAACAACAAATGTGGAGATGTTAAAAAGCCCAATTTTAAAACATTAAGTATCCCCTTGTTGTGTTCAAACAACTGCCTACTGGTCTATCTATGTACAGCACAATGAAGTGTTCTAGAATAATTCTTTGAATTATTAATAATTATTCTTTGAATTATTACACGTAACTTTCCATGAACCACACAATCGAAAGCCTTTGCATAGTCAATAAAGCACAGATAAACTTGCTTCTGGTATTTTATGCTTTCAGCCAAGACCCATCTGACATCACCAATGATACTGTCCCAAGTTCAAAGTCCTCTTCTGAATCTAGCTTGTAGCCATTTTGAGTTAGCAAAACTTTGCTTGCATTCAATATTGTTTGAAGACTTCTGCATTCCATTGGGTCATTTCTCTTTGTAGGCACAAATATGAATGTCTTTCAATCAGTTGGTCAGGCAGGTAACTGTCTCAAATTATTTGTCTTCAAGTAACACAAAATTAAAATTTCAAGTAGATGATTGATTTCCATTGCTGCCTCATTTTATTTGAAAGATTTCAATTTGTATTCCATCGATTCTTGGAGCCTTGTTCTTTACCAATGACTTCAGTGCACCTTGGACTTCCTTCAGTATCATTGGCTCTTGATCTGTGATATACCTCTTGACATGGTTGAACATCAACCATTTCTTTTTGGTACAGTGACTGTATTCCTTCTGTCTTCATTTAATGCTTTCTGCATCCTTCAATGTTTTATCCATAGAGTCCTTTCCTATTGCAACTCAAGGCTTGAATTTTTTCTTTGGTTCTTTTCAGCTTGATAAGTGCAAAGCATATTCTTCCCTTTTGGTTTCCTAACTCTGTATCTTTTGCACATTTCAATACTTTGTTTTCTTGAGCTGTCCATTGAAATCCTCTGTGCAGCCCTTACCTTATTTCTTCCATCTGCTTTAGCATCTCTGATTGTGATTCCCTGTTAAGTGCTGTTGAGTAGGTTTCAGTCATAGCACCCTGTACAGGGTTTCTGAAGAGCGACTGATGAGTCTGAACCTCCCACCTAGCAGTTCAAACCGACGGTCCAGTGCATTATTCTGCAGTGCCACACCAATATTACTCCCTGTTGTTTACAAATTCTCTCCTGAAATTGCTTATGTAATCAGAAGTTCATTATTTGAAAGAAAAATATTTGATACTGTTTATTATAACTACAGTTTTCAGCTTTAGCCTAGAAGGTATGTATATTTGATTGAATTTTATCAGTATGTCATTTTAGGGCGTTTTTAAGAAAGTTTACAAAGCTTAGCTTGTGTGTTTAATGGAAACTGACAAGTCGGTATGGAATTTGCCAAATGCACCAGCTCTATGACCATGCCAGTCAGGCCTTCATTTCCTTGTAATGTGGATCAACAGCACATCATGTATAGGACTCAGACCAAGCCATATTTTAGCTTTAAGTTTCTCCTTGGTTATATTTTTCATTCATGAAGAATCTGTTACCTTGTATCCTGCCTTCCCATTCTAGACCTGTTCTTAAAGGTTAGAATAAATAAGACTTTAAGGTCAGAACTATGTTTAAAATTGCCCAGCCTAATCCTTTTGAGATTTTCAATTGTTTAAACTCCCAGGTAACACATGAAGTAAATTGTAATGATGGCTGTAATGGTAAACAATGCTTACAATCTACTTTTCATGATATGTGGGGCACATAGTGCCCACCTACATCTAGCTCTGGTGATAAATTCCTGCCCCCATTTCAGTAATCTATTGGTGGTCTGTATAAATGTATGAATACAGAGAAAACCAGCCCTGTCCCACCAATTGTAGGACCAGAAGATTCCCTGGGTCACGTGCATCCCACTAATAGTATCAAAATCCATTATTACCTCAATTTTTTCATTTCATCCATAATGTCTTTCAGTTCTGCGAATACATGGTTTAAAAAAAAAAAACAAAAACAATTCAGTCTTGAAAGGATTACCATTAAGCTCAGTTAATCCACTGGTAACTTTTGCATGTGAAAATGGGTGACTCCGTGATCCACCAGATTTGAACGCACCCCAGTTCACTGTGTAGCCTCCACACCCATCATCTGGACACCTGCAGAAAAAAATGTCTGGACACAAGTCTAATAAGCAGGACACTCCAAGGCCAGATGACAATTTCAAACTGGAGCAAACATTCTCTCACAAACAGGCAAAACAAAATTGTATCAGTGACCAAGGATTTATTGAGACAAAGAATACAAACTGGTGGTGTACAAATTATTAAAAATAGAATGCTGTATTAGTATGCCGGCCATCAGATACTGTTCATGGTTCAAACAAGGACAGACACACACACACTGAAATGAGGTGAGCACATGGAGTTTCTGGCCTTTGGTTTGGTGGGTAAGAGTGCTGGTGGTGGGGTTGTATGTAAAATGATGACTGAAATGACACTTTTCTAGGCATTTATTCATATTTGTCCCAAAAGCCCATTTTAAATAGGAAATGGACTGGAAAATGTTACAGTGCCTACCCCGTCCCCCATCAAAAGTGTCCTAAGTAGTCAGTCTAAATTTCAACTCCTTTTATTTCCTCCCTGCCTTTGCTGGAAAAGCTTTAAAAGAAAAGTGAAAATACCCAAGTAATTAAAGGGTTTAAACACCTTACCCTCCCTCCCCCCACCCTCTACCCCCAGTAAAAATTTCCACTGTCATTTCAACCAATACAAGATATTAAAAACGTGTTTCACTTCCCCCCCTTTCCAATCTCAGTATTTGGGTGGATTTGGGAAACAAATGTTTAGGTAGAAAAGTATCCAGTTGGGCAATACTTGCATTATAAATATCCAGAAGTAGTGTGTGTCACAGAAGCACTGAAAGCAAGGCTTGCGACCATCATACTTAGTTACCCAGCCCTAGCTTCTGGTGTCAGCATTAACAAAGCTTTCTGTCCGGGCTTTCTCAATACACAATAGCCACTCTGGGCATACTCACTGAAATGGGATTCTCACTCAGATTTGTGTTCCCTTGTAAAAGTGAGGAATAATAAAAACAGCTTATTTTGTCTTTTTAGGGTAGAGCTTCACTCTACCCTAAAAGACTTAAACTCTTTGCTACAGGTCAGAATTTCTAGTAATGAAAACCATGAATTACTAAAATTTGGAAAAGATTTGCTTCCCCACAACTTTAAGAGAAAAAAAGTGGCACCAAGCCCTGGCTTTAATCACCCCCCCCCCCAATTGTTCTGCTGTTTGTTGGGGGGCAGGAAGGGGGACTATTTAGGAATCAAAATTTCCCCTAAGTGCAGCATTCATAAATAGAAACACTTTTGGATTTTGTTGCAAAGGTAAAGTACTACTAGTACGTATTTTAGAGAGCTTAATAGTGTCACTAGAGTTCATAGTGGTCCCTCCGCCCCGGATCACAACAGTTCTTCTGTCTGGAAGGCTGTTTTAAAGTTCAATGTGTTCATAAGTTGAAATAGTTAGGTATAGTTCATATGTAACATCAGTCAATGTTTGTCTAAGTTATTAAACATATAGGTCCAGATATACTAAGACATCATTAGCATAATTCACTAATACTAATGCTTAGATGCACATCCCAGAGTAGCACCTGTTTGTTATTTGTACCACTGTATATACTTTAAAATTTTTAATAACACAGGCTACATGGGGGTTGGTTCACAACTGAGTTGTAAGTCAAGCATTTGTAACCCAGGTCTGACTGGTTGTTCAGCACGTAAATTAAACTGAACTAAAAAATGGCCGACATGGTGAACCATGCAATTATCTGATTAAGGATTATAAATACACCCTTTGTAGCATGTAGCTCTGGAATAGATTCCAATTAGCGGTAAAAGTAGGCCAATGCTCATGTCTGCTTTGTTTATAAGTGCCTCCGAATCGACCCTGATTCGTAGCAACCCTGGAGAGGATTTCTAAGGAGTGACTGGTGGGTTAGAACCACTCAACTTTCAGATAGTCCAGTAATTATCCTACAGCGCCACACCAGGACTCCCTTATATGCATTCTTGTTTGTTGTTAAGTGTCATCGAGTCAATTCAGACTCATAGCCACTCTGTACAGGGTTTTCCAGGAGCAGCTGGTGGGCTTGCAGACTAGTGCTGATCCTACTTGTAAACTTTCCTAATTTCTAATCCAATCACAAAGTTAATAGTGAAAGGCAATAACACTAAATATCCTCCCAGAGGCTACAAGGGAATGAGCTGGTTAGTGCTTTTGATACACTAATAGGCTTCCACTGAAGGTAGATTTTAATATACAATGATTTTAAACATCTGAAACATGAATTTTATAATGCAAAGTTATACAAGTCTCCGGGTTATGAACATCTGGCATATGTACGACCCTTAGTTATGAACCAAACCCAATAAAAGCTAGTGATACTGGGCATTATTAAAATTTCTGTAAACATCAAATCTATGTATTTTCACATTTGCAAATGTCAAAAACAAGCAACTGATAACATTGGTAGTAAAGACGTGTCTTGCATTTGTTGTTAAGACTTAAAGACCAAGGCCTTGATTTAAGCCCTAAGACAATTTAATAATGAACTGTCTAATACAGTTTAGTGTTTTTCTGTGTGTGTGTTTTCAAAATAATATCAGATGGAAAAAAATGCCTTGTGAACCAAATAAACTATAAATCGTACATGTATACTTCAATACAGCTAACTGGGGAATCTAACAAAAGCACACACATACACAAAAGCATACAACTTTGCTTCAATAGAAGACTAAATTAGAATGGCGATATTACTTTGCTTAATAATCCCCCCAAACTTCATCCCTCACAGGCCCATAATGAACTTCTGGCCCCACAGAACCAAATGACTGCAGAATATTCTCTGGAGACTTGATAAACTCACTTGTTTTCAAAGGGCTAGTCCATAATGGGAAATTCTGCAAATATTTCACAGGCTACTTGTTATTTAGATATTTTCTGAACTGTTTGATTTGTTTCAACAGTCATGAAACGACATGAAATAGAAAGACACTGGAATATCCGGTGTATGAAGAGAAATTGAACACTCATATCCAGAACACTTAAAAGCACTAATACTTTCTTCATGCTGCACGCATACTAAGAATATTGTTATATATTTAAATATGCCAGTTTGACTTGAAGTAATTTCCCCACATATTTAGAATTTGATTCATGCGCAATGAAAACATTTGCACATAAAGTATGTTGCCACCAATAATACCACCCCCAATTAAAAGAAATCACTATCTGTTCTTTGGAAAAAAATAACTTAACAATAAGATACTTTTTCCTCATGCAAAACGTGCCCCAAAATGCATGTGTTAAGCATTATGAATTGTTGTAAAGTCACATCCTTTCCCAAGTAAACTGCAGCACAGTACAGACTTCAAAACTTCAGGGAAAGGACCTGCCAGGCCTGCCTTACTCCTACTTCCTCACCACCTCGCTGGATGGATATATAAGTGGATCATCAAATACTTTTCTCCTCCAGTTCCCTAAACACAAAGACAATTTCCTGAAGAAGGGTTACCGAAAAGATTAATTATGTAGGTGTTTACAAAACACAACTGGACATTTTCCATAATCTTGGGATAATCCAAAATAAAATTTCAAAATTGCATTTGGAAATTTCACAGCTGAAAATACTTTCAGCAAATCCTAAAGCCTTACTTACCATCGTAAGACAGTATGTATTGTCCATTGTTGATTACGAAACCATTCGCCTTCTTTCACTCTAAAGGTCTTAATACTTGAATTAACAGGTACTGATTTTCTTCTGGAAAAGTTCTTTGGCATTCAAGTAAAGTCAATACTTTCACAATAGTCACCTGCATCACACTGGAGTGACTGATAGCTTTAATTTCTAAATCATTAATTAATGTAACCCAGGCATACTGATGGCCTCAATACGTAATTCAATCTTGTCAATATTCCAAAAAGGCATGGAATTCTGGGCTGGTTTTGGCATCATCTGACCCCATTTCTTTTCACCACAATGGTTCCTGCCACAATGTCATAGGCTGTTCGATTATGCTGAAAAAACAGCAGTGTGATGAAAGCAGGGAAAAAAGAAGCAATAGAAAAATTCTTGATCAAAGCTCGTATGGTGGACCTAAAAATTAAAGCAAAAAATGTCAAATTTGTTATACATCAACTACATGTAGATGATACTTGGTATTCTGTCAAGTTCAAACTATGTACTTAAAACATTCAAAATGGAGCTTTTATTTTTGATATGTAAGTTATTTTCAGCATTATATTTAGAACAAGCCAACTGGACTTCAACATAACAGACTTTACAACTTTCACATGATTTAAAATGACTTTCGGTGTTCTTTATGAAATCCTAGAAGTCTTCCAGTTTTCCAAAAGTAGTTTAGGAAGGAGAAGTATTCTGTGACTGCCAGATGTCTGCCTGTATGCACACTGAGAGGCTGCAGACAAGTCCAGAGTCCCAAAGAAACCCACTGCCATCCAGCCAGTTCCAACTCACAACAATTCCATGTAGGCATTTATTTCCGAGAGCAGACAGCCTCATTGTTCTCCTGTGGCTGGGTTTGAACTGCTGACCCTGTGCCCACAGCAACACCAAGGCTCCTAGATGGGCTCTAACCCACCTATATCACTGCTGTTGATGGGAGTTGTGGCCACTCAAAATGTGTGTTGCCAATTCTAACCCCCAAAATCTGTGGTTATAATCCCATTTGGGAACTGATTTTGTTGTGTGAAAAGGCCTTATCTGTTTATGGTGCATTTGAAGCCACAGAGAAGCAGCAGAGATGGGGAAGAGAGATGCCACAGAAGATGAAGATCACCAGGAAAACAAGGGACAAGGACTGCCAACAGAGCCAGAGCCTTTCCTGAGAGCCGGCGCCCTGAGTGTACACGTCTAGCTATCCGCCACCACTTGCAGTATTTCTGACATAGCCGCACTAGATAGCTAAGACAACCACTTAGGAATTGTGTTCCTTAACTTTAAAAAGGGATAAAAATACATGGTGTTAAATACATTAGGTCATTTTTAAAGTATTGCTACAAACTCATAAAATCCCTTATAAGCAACAATATCAAAATGTGAAGCTATTGTTTCCAGACACATCCTCCATTTAGGTCTCTACACTTCTGAAGGCAGTTTCCATCTCTAACCCTTCCCCAAAGAATTCTGTACTCTTTGATTTACACCATGTCTACATGGCAGTTTTGGCATCCTCAACGGACTCAAATTGTGTTCCTTATAAATGTTCTTGGGAGTTTTGGAAACAAGAAATTCTGAAGGGTCAGGAGCAAGGCTGGAGGGTGGATGGGGTAAGGTTTCACAGTGAAATTCTATGACAGCACATTTGAAGCAGCAGCAGGTATACTGTCATGATGGGGAAATTCTATGGCACAACTTTACTGGCCTTTTCCTCATCAATGCAGTTTTCAATTTTCTGAAAAATTCTTCCTAATAAGTCCCTGTAATTGTTCTGTGTCCTTCAAAAATTTCTGTTAAAATTATTCCTTTGGGATCCCAACAGTTGCCATAACCTTCTGAGTTGAGCCGACGTCACCTGAGATGACCTTTCTCTGCCTTGAATTTAAGTGGCCCAGCAGATGCCCACAGAAACCAGTTTTGTTTGGACCATTGGTAAATGGTATTATAAATTCAAGACTCGTCCCTGGTTACTATTTGTTTCATGACATTGTCTTCTTTGGCTTTGATCTTGTTTAAAAGACTGATAGAAAGATCAGATCTTTGAGCTAGCTGATCTTTGGGCAGTATTTTTTGGCATCCATCAAGCTGAAAACTTGTTCAGGTCAACATGTTTACCTCAAATTGAAAATGCTGAACACCATGTGAGAATCCTCAATTCAGTAGCCACCACATCAATGTTAATGCTATATATAGTCTTCTTCCACCAGTTTCTGGACTTAAGTCAGAGTTTATTTGTAGAGATTAATGGTCTTCCCTAACTTGGCTCATCTTTGAAATCTTTCTGACCTTCCTTAAACTATTGCAAAGGTTCAAAAATTTGGGAATATATCCAATTGAATTTTGTTAGAATTCTGATATTTAGTCTTAACCTCAAATTGTTTTTCTACACAAAAGTATCTTTTTTTTCTCTGAAGGCACCCTAATGAGACTAAGACCAGTGTATTGCTGAGAGAACCTGTCTGCAGCCAACCACAAGACGCAGAGAAATACTTGTACCTATCTTGTTTGGGATAAACCTGAGCATGTGTGAACTGGAGCCCTAGTTGTGGTTATTAGGTGCCATCATGTCAGTACTGGGCTCATATCACCTCTATGCACAACAGAGCGAAACATTGCTCAGTCCTGCTCCAAACTCACAATTACGGCTACACTGGATGACACTGCTGTTACCACTGTGCCAATCCATCTTACTGGAGGATTTTTTCCTCTTTTTCTCTGACCCTCCACCTTACCAAACATGATACCCTTCTCTAATGACTGGTCCCTCCTGACAATATGTCCCAAGTATGGGGGATGAAATTTGGCCATCCTGGCCTCCAAGGCGAACTCTGGCTGCACTTCTTCCAACACAGATCTGTTTGCTGTTTTGGCAATCCATGGTACTTTCAATATTCTCCTTCAACACCACAGCTCAAATGTATGAGTTCTTCTAAGGTCTTCCTTATTCACTGTCCAGCTTTCATATGCATATGAGGTTAATGAAAATACCATGGCTTGGGTCAGGCACACCTTAGTCCTCAGACTGACATCTTTGCTCTTCAACACTTTAAAGAGGTCTTGTGCACCAGATTTGCCTAATGCAATACGTCACAGCTGCAGTAGCAGTACTTTCTCATACGCATTGTGGACACAGTTCCTGGTGATAAGCAGTGCTCAATAAACATGAGCTATTACTGAGTATCTTAGATGCCGTAACCAGGAAATGATAAGCAACCACAAAATTTTAAGGAAATTCTGAGGATGTTAGCAAAATCAACATCTTACTTAGTATCACTCGGATTATCGGTGGAGTCCTGGTGTGGCGCTTCAAGATAATGCACTGGAATGCAAGGTCAGCAGTTCAAACCCACCAGTTGCTCTGTGGAAACCCTATACAGGGTCGCTATGAGTTGGAACCCACATGATGGCACACAACAACGTATCTTTAAACAGCAGCAATCTAAACAACACACTCTGTTTTGGATAACTGATTACCACCAACTCAACCCCACAAATTCCATGACGCCACTACTAAGAATCCTCTATGATGACAAGCTTCCTAACTGAAAGACAGCAAGTGCTTACACCTGCAAAGGATCCCTGGTGGTGTTTTAGATAAGCACTGGACTATCCTGGTGTGGCACTGGTAAGTAACGGACTGCTTATCTGCAAGGCTGTCAGTTCAAATCCACCAGCTGCTCCTCAGACCTCTACATAGAGTTGCGATGAATCGGAGTTGACTCCATGGCACTTAACAACAACTAATCACAAGGTCAGCAGTTCAAGCCCACCAGCCACTCTGAGGGACAAAGATGAGGCTGTCTCTCCTGTAAAGATCTACAGCCTCAGAAGCCCTATACAGGACAGCTGTGAGTCCGAACCAACTTGATGGCAGTGGATTTAGTTGGTTTTGTAAGATGCATGCATGTACAGCTGTCAAAACTCTCCCTGCCTATTCAACACGGACAATGCCAAGTCACCACCTGACCTGATGTCTGCAGACCAAGAGAACGATGGGTATGAAACACTGATGCAGCATCAACTCCCAAATCTTCCCCTAACTGTTGTGACCTACATTTAATAAAAGGATCTCCCTGAGAAATTATACTGAAAGGGGTCTATGAGCCAGTAACAATTGAATGAATACTCATAAACTTTGTTTTAAAACTTAATAAAATATAGTCTTATCAAATTATATGCCTTCATCAAAGGAAGATGAAGAAAAATATACAAGTCTTCTAAAAACACAATACCCAATGCTTTAACTTATAAATGATTTTCGTGGATTATGAAAATGTAATTTACACAAATATATGAGTAAACTAGGAAAAAGACTTACGTTGTGATGCTCACATTTGAGGAAGGGATCACTAAAACCCGACTTGGTGCAACGAGCACTGATGTGTCACATGTCACAACTCGAAGCCCCAGTAGGAACTTCCCTGGGGTAGCTCCACCTGCTCCCCAAATGCAAATTATCTAAAGAAAAAAGGATAATTAAAAATACTTCACTGGCTCAACTGCCGATTTTAAATGTGAGCTTTCTGGCCATCCTATTTCATGTACTTTTGCTGTTAAAAGGTAATGTTTCATAGCACAGTATGATTTAGGCACTCAAAGTTTAATCTTTTGACAGTATTTCTCCAGGCCTCTTACAATCTTCAATACCACAAGACATCTACAAACAACATTTCATGGTGGCCTGTTACATGAGTAAGTTGTTTCTATGATTAAATACATTTCAAGTTCCACAACTACTTATGAGTTAAAAAACTACTTTTACATAACAGTTTAATTCTGAAGGAAGGTTAAAATATACCACAAAAGAATTAGACATTTTCTCCCTTCAGAGTTTTCTTTTTTAATTGGAAAAAAAAATACATTCATTATAGAATAGTAGAAAGAGAAAAGTAAAAAGTAGAAAACAAACATCTGACAAATACATAAGCAATTATAAATTCCCATTGCCCAAATTCCAAGACTGGCAATCTATAATAACATGGTTAAATACTAGTATTTGGTGAAGCTAAAACTTTACCTCATAGACGCAGACTAATAATCTGTATATAAGAGCCACAACCATCATTTTCTGCAAGTCTTCCATTGACGTGTCTTCATCTATTTCTTCTATTATATAATGCATAGCAAATTTAGAAATATCCCTACAAAAATAACAGTAGTTATCTTACAGAGAATTAGTTACCAGAGCAGTTAGTTGTACAGTTGTTGTTTTAAGTGTTGTCATAACTTTAACTGAAATTCTAAACTAATCTTAAAAAATGTTCCCAACCATCTAATTTTACAAAACATTCATTACTATATTCAGCAAATAATAAGCACAATCGTGAGCAGGGAAAGGAGCTCTGATAGCGTAGTGGTTACGAATCGGGCTGTGAACCTCAAGGTCAGCAGTTCGAAACTACCAGCGGTTCCGTGGGAGAAAGATGAGGCTTTCTGCTCCCGTAAAGATTTACAGCCTCGGAAACCCTGTACAGGGTTGCTATGGGTCGGAACCGACTCGACGGCACTTAACAACATCGTGAGCAGGGAACTCCTGGTGTGGCACTGTAGGATCAGCACTGGACTACAAAGCAAAGGTCGGCAGCTCAAACCCACCAGCCACCATATAGGGTCGCTATGAGTTGGAATCAACTTGACGACACTGAACAAGAGTCCTGGTGTGGCACTGTTGGACAGACACTGGATTGCAAGGTGAGTGGTTCAAAACCACCCGTTGCTCCTCAGAAACCCTATAGAGGGTCACTATGAGTGGGAACTGACTTGACAGCACTTAACAACATTATGAGCAAGTACTGTACTGCTGCTCTTGTCAGGTGATGTCAAATCAGTGACTGCTCATTGTGACCTATGTACTCCTGAACAAAAACATTGTCCCATCCTCACAGTTTTTTATGTTTGAGCCCACTATCACTGTCACTGTGTCAATACATCTTGTTGTGGGGAGGGGTCTTCCATTTTATCGCTGGCCTTACACTTCACTGGCATGATGTCTTTCTTCAGGGACTGATTCTTCCTGATAACATGTCCAAAGTACTAGAGATAAAGTGTCACCACTCCTAAGGAGCATTCTGGCTCTACTTCCAAGGCGGATTTGTTTGTATTTCTAGCAGTCTATGGTACTTTCAGTATTCTTCTCCGACTTATTACTTCAAAGGAATTAATTCTCTACAATCTTCCTTAGTCAATGTCCAACTGTTACACTGGTAATGGCAAATACGAAGACATTTCAGGCATACCTTAGACGTTGAAATGACATCTTTGTTGTTCTTCAACACTTTAAAGAGCTCTTTTGCAGCAGATTTGCCTATGCAATATATTGTTTGAGTTCTTGACTGCTGCTTCTAGGAGTACTGATTTGTGGATCCAAGTAAAATGAAGTCTTTGATAAATTCAATCTTTTCTCCATTCATCATGATGTTATTTATTGGTCCACTTTTTAGGACTTTTTTTTTACACCGAGGAGCAATCCATATTGAAGGCTGTATGTAGTCTTTGATCTTCATCAGTATTTCAAGTCCTCTGCATTTCCAGCGAGCAAAATGATGTCATCTACATATCGCAGGTTGTGGAATCTTCCTTTCCTTTCATCCTGATGCCATAATCTTCATACAATCCAGTTTCTTAGATTATTTGCTCAGCATATAGACTGGACATGAATAGTGACAGGGTACAACCGTGGTGCACACCTTTCTTGTTTTTAAACCATTAAGTATCCCTTGATAGAATAAGTGCCTCTTGATCCATGTATATGTTCCTTGTGAGCACAACTAAGTGTTCTGAAATACTCATTCTTCGCAATGTTATTCATAGTTTGTTATGGTCCACAATCAAATGTCTTTGCATAATCAGTAAAATACAAGAAAAAATCTTTCTTGTATTCTTTGCTTTTAGTCAACATTCATCTAACACGAGCAATGATATTTTGTTCCATGTCCTCTTCTGACTTGAAATTCTGGTTAGCTCCCTGTTGGTGCACTGTTGCAACCATTTTTGAATTATCTTCAGCAAAATTTTACTGGCATGTGGTATTGATATAGTTCTAGGAGTCTTGGTGTGGTGCTGTGGGTTAATGCACTGGACTGCAAGACTGATTTCAATTGCAAGGTCGGCGGTTCAAGTTCACCAATCACTCCTAGGAAACCCTACACATGGTCACTAGGGATGAGAATGGACTCAATGGCACTTAACAACAACATGATTTCTGCATTCTGTTGGGTCACCTCTCTTTGGAATGGGCAAAAATATGAATCTCTTCCAATCAGCTGACCAGGTAGCTGTCCTCCAAATTTCTTGGAATGCATGAGTGGGCACCTTCAGTGCTGTGTCAGTTTATTGAAACATTTCAATTTATACTCTTCTCAACTCCTGGAGGCTTTTCACCAAGGCCTTCAGTTTAGCTGTACTTTTGTCAGTATCACTGGTTTTTGAGCATGTGCTAACTCTTGAAATGATTAAGTGCTTTTGAGTCAGTTCTGAATCAGAGTGACCCTGTATAGGGTTTCCAAAGAGCGGCTGGTGAGTTTGAACTGCTGACCTTAAGATTCAAATGACCTAGCAATCAAGTGCTTATCCTATACACACTGACTGTAGTCTTTGATTTTTGCTGCATCCTTCAATATTTTGTCCACAGAATCCTTTAATATTGCACCCTGAAGTTTGAATTTTTCCTTCAGTTCTTTCAGCTTGAGGAATGTGGAGTGTGTTTATCTCTTTGGTTTCCAACTCCAAGTCCTTGCACATTGAATTATAATACTTGGATTTGCCTTCTTGAGTTGCTCTTTGAAATTTTCTGTTCAGCTCTTTTACTTCCTTACTGTTCCCAGTTGCTTTCGAATCTTCTCTAAGCTCAAGAACAAGTTTCAGAGGCTTTTTTTACATCTACTTTGGTCTTTTCTTTCTACCATTTTAATAACCTGCTTTCTTCATGTAGGATGTTCTTGAGGTCATCCCACAACTCCTGGTTTTTAGTCATTTGTGTTAAATCTGTTCTTGAGATGGGTCTCGAAATTCAGGTGGGATATGTTCAGGGTCATATTTTAGCTGCCGTGCACTTGTTTTCATTTTCTCCAGCTTCAGCCTGAAATTACATGTGAGTAATTGATGGTGTGTTTTACAGTTGGCCCCTGGTCTTGTTTTGGCTAACGATACTGAGCTTCTCCTTCATATCTTCCCATAAATATTGTCAGTTTGTTTCCTGTGCCGTCTACCTGGTGTGGTACATGCATACAGTCCTTGTTCATGTGGTTGAAAAAAGCTTGATTTACAATGAAATTCGTTGGTCTTGCAAAATTCTATCTGCAACATTGTTTCTATTACCAAGGTCATATTTCCCAATTACAGATCATCCTCCCTCTTTGTTTTCAACTTTCACATTCCAATCACCAGTAATTATCAATACATCTTGATTTCATGGTTGACCAATTTCAGACTTAAGCCCACTAACACCTAGGATATCAATCTTTATCATCCCATTTAATTTTTGGCAACTTTCCAATTGTTCTAGATTCATACTTCATACATTCTATATTCTAATTATTAATGGACATTTGAAGCTGTTTCTTCTCATTTTGAGTTGTGCCACATCAGAAAATGAAGGTCCAGAAAGCTTTGCTCCATTTAATGTCATTAAGGTCAACTCTACTTTGAGAAGGCAGCTCTTCCCCAGTCGTATTTTGAGTGTCTTCCAGGCTGAGAGGCTCATCTTCTGGCACTTTATCTGACAGTGTTCCGCTGCTTCTCATAGTTTTCAGTGGCTAACCATTCAGAAGTGGTCTGCCTTTCCCTCTTCCTAGTCTGTTTAGTCTGGAAAAGCTGCTGAAACCTGTCTACCATGGGTGACCCTGCTGGTATGCTAAATATTAGTGACGCTTCGAGCTTCACTGCAACATACAAACCACAAGACACCTGATAGATAAGTGGTGGAGACACTGTACTACCCCTGATGATATAAAAGTTAATGACTTCAGCATGTTCTTTGCTTTCTGGGAGATTCTAAATTAGCAATACCAATAAAGCAGGTTGAGAACGACAATAAGCAACTACACAGTACTATGGAAATACTTATCATGTACATGTGACCTAGTTTCGCAGAAATGACATTTAAGCTGCAGAGAAGTTAGCCAGACTAAGAAGGGTTGAGAAAATAACAAAGTAAAAGAGAAAGTCTCGGAGCAAGAGTGTGTGGTGGAAACTGAAAGCAGTCTGGTCTGACTCGAATATTAAGTGTGAGAGGTGGCAATGATGAACAAATCAGAGCAGGAAAAGATCTGTGACAACCATATGGAGAAATTCAGACTTTATCCTGAAGGCAATCAAAGTCTATTAGAGGGTCTTAAGGCAGGACAGGAAGAGGATCGGAATTTATGACCACTTTGGTTGCCCATCAGAGACTGGATTGAGGTAAAAGAGGAGAAGGGAGCCTGGGATACCACTTTTGTGGTGTAATTCAGGTAAGAGATGACAATGATTGGACTAGGGAGAAGCAAAGAGATGAAAAATGACATGGCAACGAAGGCAATTATTGTTGTTAGCTGCTGTTGAGTCGGTTCCGATTCATAGAGATGCAAAGCACAAGAGAATGAAACACTGCCAGGTGTGGCGCTATCCTCAGAACTGTTGTTGCACTTGAGCCCACTGCTGCCGCCACCCACCACTGTTCCAATCCATGTCACTGGGGGTCTTCCTCTTTATCGCTGACCCTCCACTTTACCAAGCATGATGTTCTTCTCCAGGGACTCAGCCCTCCTGATAACACGTCTGAAGTATGTGAGACAAATTCTTGCCATCCTGGCTCCTAAGGAGCTCTCTGGCTGTACTTCTTCCAACCTGTTTGTTCTTTTGGCAGTCCGTGATACCTTCAATATTCATCTCCAACACCACAATTCAAATGCACCAATTCTTCTATGGTCTTCCTTGTTCATTATCCAATTTTCACATGTATATGAGGCAATTGAAAATACCATTGATTGGGTCACGTGCACCTTAGTCCTCAAACTGATATCTGCTCTTAAACACTTTAATTTTAAAGAGGTCTTGTGCATTTGCTCAGTGCAATACGTCATCTGATTTCTTGGCTGCTGCTTGTATGAGCGTTGATTGTGGATCTAAGCAAAATGAAGTCTTTGACAACTTCAATCTTTTCTCAATTTATAATGTTATTTATTGATACAGGTAAGGATTGTTGTTTTCTTTACAATGAGGTACAACCCATGTTGAAGACTGAACTCTTTGATCTTCATCTGTCTATCACAGATTGTTAATGAGTCTTCCTCTAATCATGATACTATGTTCTTCTTTATATAATCCAGCTTCTTGGATTATTTGCTCAGTGTATAGATTGAGTACGTATGATGACAGAATACAAGCCTGACGCACACCTTTCCTGAATTTAAACTATCGATGTTCCCCTATTCTATTCAAACAGTTGCCTCTTGGTCTACATACAGGTTGCTCATAAGCACAATGAAACGTTCTGGACTACCAGTTCTTTGCATGCATCCATAGCTTGTCATGATTCATACAATCTAAAGCCTTTGCATAGTCCATAATGCACAAGTAAATATCTTTCTGGTATCCTCTGCTTTCAGTCAAGAGCCACCTGCCATCAGCAATGATATCGTTAGTTCCATAGCCTCTTCTGACTCTGGTTTGGATTTCTGGCAGTTATCTGTCTATGTACTGTTACAGGTGTTTTTGAATTATCTTTTTTAAAGAGAAAAATCGTCTGGTGTAAAAGCTACTCAGACTGAACATAGGGTGAGATGAGTGTGTTTGGGGAGGATTTGGAGGGGCAGACATGGAGAATCAGTAAAAATCAGGTTGCTTACCTATGAAATTTGACTCTTATGAGTTAGTATTCTGATTCTGTCACTGACTACACTCTCTGTAATTTCTGTAAGTCTAAATTTCTCTCTCTGAAATTAAAGATACTAATCTCTATCTCAAGTTGTTTTTATAGCCTTTCAAGTGGATCCCAACTCAGATACCTACAGGATAGAGTAGTAGTAGGCTTCATCGGATCTCCTAAGTTGTAATTTTTATGGAGACACCACTCTGGTAGCGTAGTGGTTATGAATCAGGCTGTGAACCTCAGGGTCTGCAGTTCAAAACTATCAGCAGTTCCACAGGAGAAAGATGAGGCTTTCTGTTCCCGTAAAGATTTACAGCCTCGGAAACCCTGTACAGGGTCGCTATGAGTTAGATCCGAATCCACAGCACATAACAACAACAACTACCACCAAGATCGGAGATCCGGAAGTGGAGTGTGTCCTTTGGACTTGGGCTCCCTGCACTGTGAAGCTCCTAGATCCAGGGGAAGACTGATGCCAAGATGTGTGGAGAGCTGCAATGAATGCTGGGCCTACAGATGCGGAAAGGTGACAAAGACCTTTCCCTAGAGCAGACGATGAGACAGCCTTCCTCGAGAGCCAGCACTCTGAATTTGGACTGCTAGCCTGTTAACCTGTTAGAAGGGAGTACAGTGGTTCTGTAGTAAAAGCACTGGACTACGAGCTACAAGGCTGGCAGTTCAAGTCCACCAACCTCTCACATGAGAACGATGAGTCTTTCTGCTCTCTGGAAGACTGATAGCCTCTGAAATGCTTTAAAGTGTCCCTGGGAACTGGAACTCACTCAAAGGCACTTAACAACAATCTTTATGAAACAGATGGGGTTCATCCACCCAAATCCCTTTATGTCTTTGTCTTTAGCGACTCTGTTCTACACATGATTGCTGCTGTTCAACACTACGCACAACAGAATGAAGCGCTGCCTGGTCTTGGCCCATCCTCAAAATCAGCATTCTGTTTGAGACCACTGTTGCTGCCACCAAGTCAGTCTTATCTTGTAAGGGTCTTCTTTTTCGTGATTCTCTACTGAATATGACAGTTAAGAGGAAAACTAGTTCCTGGCCTAAGAGAATAACGTTCTGCAGGTTAGAAGGTTCTTTTCCCTTCCTTTTTTAAATAGGCGAGATTCCCACAGATTTTACATAATTTAGTAAGACTATCTTTGTTCTTCTTTTGTAGCTACTTCTTAAAACCAACAAGAATAAATTCTGACAGAGTTCCTACAAAGAAATTCCAGCAGTGACACATGACAGCCAGAGGCAGTCCTTACAGGAATGAATTCAGCAGAACAAGATCTCTTAAATGCTAGACACGAAAATCTTTCTATAAATGTTCTTAACTTACTTTATTCCACTGAGGTGCATAATGCTTAAGACAATGGTTGCTTTTATAAAGAAGAGAATAAAGAAATCCACCATCTCTGCCATGAATCTGTGGGCCAAGGATGGAATAACATACTCACTCCCTGTTAAAAAAAAAAAAAAAAGTTAGGAATACTAATTCCATACCAGTCTTTGAATAAAGCCAGGAAATGAAGGCGATACAAAGTCAAGGCAATAAAAACAAAAATACAACCTTCTAACAATTACTGATACTGTTTCCATCAAAAACACATATTACAAAATATAGCAACACTACTCCTTTGTTTACTAAATTGTTTAAAATTTGTTTTACTACCCTAATGTTTAAAAAGTGATTTCATATACAAACTACTTAGGGTACTCAATGTGTTTCACGAATGAGGAGAATCCAGCTGACCACAAGCTATCACACAAAATTAAACTCTTTTAGTAAAAATCAAGACTAAGTAAGCATATGCAACTGGTATAAAATCAATCTCTGTGTTCCTCATTTCCCCTCCTATTTGTTTAATTGGTTCTGTTTTCTATAAAAACCATCCAGTGAATACCAATCTCTCCTGAGTTCTGACTAGGATACAGATTCAGGAGGCAATTCGTTCTGTCCCATGTATTTGTGCTTGAGTAAAATTAAATAACTATAATTAATTCAAAGTATTCTAATCCTCATAGAAGAAGACAAATATACAAACATCAAAACGTGAAGCTATTGTCTCTTAACCCTTCCTAGAAGAATGTTGTGCTCTTTGAGTTACATCATGTCGAAGCGCAGTTATGGCATCCTCTAGGGACTCAAACTGTGTTCCTTTTAAATGTTCTTGGAGTTTGGGGAGAAAAAGGAAGTCTGAAGGGGCAAGATCAGGGCTGTTGGGTACATGCGGGAAGGGTTCCCAATGAACTTCTCCTAGGACAGCCCTTGCTACCCTAAAGTATGTGCAGGGGCATTGTGGTAATGGGAAAAAATTCCTTGACACAAGTTTTTGGGCCTGTTTCCCACCAATGCAGTTTTTTAAATTAAAAACAAAAACAAAAACTTCTTCCTAATAAGCCCCTGTTGTCATTCAAGAAAATCAAGATAACCCCTTTGAAAGCCTGAGCTGACCTGTCTTGAATTTAAGCGGCCCAGAAGAACCCCTCAGAAGACTTAGTTTTGATTGGACGGTTTGCTTTTTGGTTTTTTTGACACACCTTATGGAGTTCTGGTATGTACCACTGGACTGTTATGTTAATAGCAAGGTCCCAGGGTCAAACCCACCAGTCAGTGCTTGGAAACCCTATGCAGGGTCAAAATGAGTCAGAATTGACTCAACAGCCCCTAACACGAAGGAGATAAGGCAGAAAGATAAGGCTTTCTGCTCTTGCAAAGATTTGTTGTTGTTGTTGTGTGTCTTGGAGTCGGTTCAGGCTCATAGCCACACTGTACAGGGTTTCCGAGGCTGTAAATCTTTATGGGAGCAGAAAGCCTCATCTTTCTCCCACGGAACAGCTGGTAGTTTCGAACTGCTGACCTTGGTGCTCGCAGCCCGATTCATAACCACTACACTACCAGAGCCTGGAAACTCCATACTGGGTCTCTTAGTTGGAGAACCAACTTGATGACACTTTACAACAACAACAAGGTTAAGAGACAAGTGTAGTAAAGAGAACTTATCTGGAGCCATCCAACAATTGCACAGACATATTTAAACACGTTTTTGTTTGGAACAATCCCATGCATGAATGAACTGGAACCCTAGAAGCACTAATTTCTGTCAAACTCATAGAGCTAAACAATAAGACAATATACAAAATAAAACCAGGGCTTAACTGCATTTGTAATAATGTAAATAAATATCCTTTTATATCCGTTCAGCTCCACCACTCCAAAAACATCACAGCAGTCTGCATTTCCAAGCCCTACTCAGAATGGGTTTGCCATAAAGAGTGAAGCGTTGGATGTCAGTATCTGGTGTAGTAAAAGGACACTTTGGAAAACAAAAACTGCAGGTATTTAATACCTCTTTTTTGCACGTGAAAACTACTTATCCCATGGGAAGGTAATCCATTCGGAGTTCCAAGTCTCATGGAAGAAGAAACCCTATTGCCTCACTGCACACACGTCCTGGGCTTTCAATCATTGAAAGCCTGGGGGTGGCGTCGTAGGATAAGCCCAAGGTCGGCAGTTCTCCTAACCCTCTGCAGGATCGCTAGCAGTGGGGCCGACTCTACAGCACCCAGCGATGCCCTCAAAGAGAGACAGCATCAGTGACGGCTCTACTACTACATCGTGCCAGTCCCACCCGCACCCAGATTGCCCCGGAAAGCCCTTCTCACCTGCCTGCCGTCCAGCCTCGATCGGGGTTCGCGAAGGAGCAGTGGGTCCTGCCCTGGCCCCGGGGGTGGCCCTCACGGGTCCCTGGACCGGGGATGCCCGGGCTCCCAAGCCGGCGACAGCAGCGGGTGTGGCGGCCCCGGCCACAGCCCCCGGGGCAGGCGCAGCGGCAGGGGCGCTCAGGAAGTAAAAGGGGTTGTAATAGGCCAGCTGGGGGGCGGCTGGTGCCTGGTAGGCGGCTGGGGGCAGCTGGGGGTTGCAGTAGGCGGGGAAGGCGGCGAGACCGCTGTGCCAGGTGAGGTAGCCGCAGTAGGACTGCCAAAGCCATTCGTGCACCTGGTGGGAGTACTCGCGGGCGCTCAGCCGCTCCGGCCTCTCCCGCAGCTCCGCATCGGAACCGGCGGCCGCCTCCTCGCGCTTCCTGGGCTCGCGCTCCGACTCGGACTCGGATTCCTCGGCGACGGCCGCAGCAGACGCAAGGCCTGGGGCGGGGGGCTTGCCCGGGGCCTGAGGCTCAGCCTGCGGCCCGGCCTGTGGGCGGGGAGCGGCGGTGGCGGCAGGGTTTCTCATAGAAGGGCCTGGCTCGCGGTCCCCTCCGCCGTCGTCTTGCCCGGGCAGGCAACGTCGGGCTTCCTCGGGCCCCTCTGCCATGTTCGCTCTGCAGCACCCTCCTCGGTACCTGTCACTGCGCAGTCTCCCTCTCCTAGGGGCCCCTCCCCAGCTGCACCGTGGTCCCCGCAGCAAGCGCAGGCGTCAACAATCCACCACCGGAAGCGGAAACCCCGCCCCTTGGGAACGTCGCCGGCCTGGCTGGAGGAGCGGGAGGTTGAGGGTTGTGTAGTGGAAGGATCTGGGGGCGGGGCTAATTGCGTCCTCCTCCTTCCCACTAAACTGCGCTTTTGGAGGCCCACGGCCTGCTCAGTGTGTCGCTTATTATTCACGAGACAGTGTCTGTTCCTTACAGTTTTAAATTTTAAAAAGTCCAAGACCTGAGGTCTCCAGGTAATCCCATGGGAAATAGACCCAGGGGAAACTGCAGATCGAGTGAGAGAATTTCCAAAAGGAGTTCAGGGTCATCTCTGTCTTTTTTTTGTTTGTTTCCCAGCCACTAATTTCTTTTGGTCTCCAAGCGCTGGAGTTCTTAATTCTGCCCGTTCACTTTCCTGTCAATTTATCTTAGGCCATTGTATTCTAGAAGGTAATACAACCCAAACTCAACAAGAATATGTATCTAGATAGTATAGTTCAACTGCAGAAATTTGCAAATGTTTAAAAAAAAAAAGATTTTTTGCTGATTTGAAACATGAAGCAGCACTCTTTACTTATCCTGGAGTGTCCACAAAAGCTTTTCTAAGCTGTATACACAATCCTGGCATCACTACCATTCTCTGATTTACAGGAGAGAAAGGAAACCCCAATCTTCAAAGATATAAATAGTATTGTTGTTAAGTGATGTTGAGTGGATTCCGACCCATAGCGACCCTATGTAGGGTTTTCAAGGAGCAGCTGGTGAACTTGAACCACCAACCTTGCAGTTCAAACCACTGCAGTCTGGTGCATTTCTGTATTGGACTCCTGATGTGGCGCTGTAGGATAAGCACTGGACTGCAAACCATAAGGTCAGCAGTTCAAACCCACCAGGGTCACTAAAAGTCAGAATTTACTCTAAGACTCTTAACGAGCCTTTTTTAAGTCTTAAACAAAAGACATAAAATCATAGACACCAAGATGAGCTTTCAAAGATCTGTCTCTATGAGGTGACCCTTTCTTTATAGGGCACAGAGAACAAAGGAATCTCTTCCCACAGCTATGCCTGATGGCAGTAGCCATGATTCACATGCACAGCCTGGGACTATGGGAAGCAGGTAGGGGACTATTGAAGACAGGAAAGTTCAGTCTCTGAGGTTCTCAGGATATGACATCACCACTTGTTGTTGTTGTTGTTAAGTGCCATCGGGTCGGGTCCGACCCATAGCGACCCTGTACAGGGTTTCCGAGGGTGTAAATCTTTACGGGAGTAGAAAGCCTCATCTTTCTCCCGTGGAGCGGCTGGTAGTTTCGAACTGCTGACCTTAAGGTTCGCAGCCCGATTCGTAACCACTACGCTACCAGAGCTCCTTGACCACTAGGCAACCATTAATTCTTAATGATTAAGAGGTATGTCCAGGAATGTTCCTGCTGAGGCAGTGGCCCCAAACCCACTTTTAAATATGTTGTTTTTAAGTTGCTTTCTGCTCCTGTAAAGATTTGTAGCCTCTGAAACCTCCTTACAGGGTTGCTATGGGTTGGAACCGACTCAACGGCGCTTAACAGCAACAATTTATAGCAACATTTTTTTAAAAATTGCAATATTTGATGGGAACTACAGACTAATGCAAAGTCAAACATAGTTAAAATATAGAAGGAACGTTAGATGAGAGCACTTTAAATTACTATAACTTTTTAGAGACGTTTAGGTATGATAGTATAGTATCAAGTTAGTAATATTTGAATTAAATTTGTAGATAAGCAGCTGGATTTAAAAGAAATAATTATGGTTAAGTTAGCAATTAAAATAGCTAAAATTTTGAACACATTTAGTAAAATCCTCTTGCTGGAATCTATATTAATTTGCTGATAAGTAAACCCAGTCTTGTTGTTGTTGTTAATTGCCGTGGAGTCAGTTCCAACTCATAGCAATCCTGGACAGGGATTATGAGAAGTGCCTTGTTGTTGTTAAGTGCTGTTGAGTCGATTACGACCCATAGTGACCCTGTATAGGGTTTCCAAGGAGCAGCTGGTGAACTTGAACCACCGACCTTTTAGTTCAACCAACTTTGCAGTCTGATGCATTAGCCCACAGCACCACACCCGGAGGTCTTAAAAAAGCATAGGCTTAGTAAAATCTAATTTACCTTTGTCCTGGGTAAATTACTTAAAGAATGAAATAAGCCTGCAAATTAATAATTAAAAGAAAATCTTATTATTTTAATGATAGGAAACCCAATTCTTAATATAATCTTTTTGATGGATTTAAAAAAGAAACATATTAATTCATCAGACCTCAAATTCATACATTTTTTTCCTTTGAAAAGTAAAAATGTGTGAATATTAAATATTTGTTTGTTAGCTTAAATCAATACTAGTAAATTTATTTAGATCTTGACATTACTCATACATTAGATTTTGACATTACTCATACATTATAAAGTTTAGTCATCATTGAAATAAAGGTTGTTTATTTTAAGGCTTTAATTTTTTTACTAAAATCTAGTCAAGCCTGCTGCCAGTGAGTGTAACTTCACTCAGGGAGGCCCATGGAACAAAGCAGGGGAGTTCTTTGGGATCTCAGAGACTGAAATTTTCTGTAGGAGCAAACAGCTTCATTTTTTCCTCCAAGGAGCAGCTGGGGGGCCTCGAACTTCTGATCTTTAGGTTAACAGGCAATGCTTAACACACTGGAGTCCAGGTGTGGTACTGTGGGCTAATGCGTCAGACTGCAAAGTCCTTTGAACTGCAAGGTCAGTGGTTCAAGCTGACCAGCTGCTCCTTGGAAACCCTATACAGGGTCGCTATGGGTCGGAATCTACTCAATGGTACTTCACAACAACAACAATCCTCCCCAACCTCTGCCTCACAACTAATTGTCTTTAGTTTTTGTCTAATCCTAGGCTGACTAATTTGTTTGTTTATATTGGTCCAGGTTAACTGGAAAACAATGGGCACCCAAATTCCTTTAGAAGTTACTTCCAAATCAGGATAAAGGAAAAAAAAAAATTAAGGTAATTTTATTTTGATAACATCTCCTATACAGAGTCATTGAGTCAGAACAAACTCAATGGCACTTAACAATTCAAGTAACTTATGAAAATTTAGGTTTTAGGTTTTTACAAAGGCCTTTTGAAAAGAAAGCATTTTAACTTATAACGTCAAGAAAATCGTTAAGCACACATGTGTGAAAAAAATAAAGCTAAAAAAAAAAAAAATCTTAATAATACTATCCAGAGGCCAAAATAATAATTTTATGAATGCTATTATTTTTGTTGTTTTTGTTAAGTGCCTGTGAGGTGACTCCGACCCATAGC